TTCTAGCGAGTTCTTTGGCAGTAAAATGCGAATAAAAGCAGGCACTTTACTAGCTAAATGATAAATCTTATATGTATATTGGCCTGATGAGTACTTTCCACCGAGTAACGGATAATCCGTAAACGGCTCATTCTTCAATACTTCAATGCCTTCTCCACCGCCTGTATTATTTTTACTAGCCTCTGCTACAGAATACAGTTGAGCTACTTGATACTGTTAAGGAGAAAAAAATATATATAAATTCTTGATAATGTTCAAGGTACATTAAAATCGTTATATAATTTATATCATGAGATATAAATACTTATATATGTACTTTGACATGTTTTTGTGAGAACCATTCATTCATTTATTAATTCTTTTGGTTTGAGTTTCTTTTCATTCATTAACAGGAAAAAAGAAAAAAGGATTTAAATTCATTGTGTAATGCGAATCTATTTTTAAAATTTATACTTGAAATAAAATGATAATCATACTATTATTAAGCTATATATCTCTCATTTTATTATATACTCTGAAGCAGATAACGAATAGAAAAATAGAAACAATAGTTTAAACAGCAATAGATAATAATAAAATAGATAATAATAAAGTAATAGATAATAATAAAAAACTTGTGTGTTTATGTGATAAAATAGGTTTCTAATTATAAATTCAGTATTGTTTATGCAAGATAACTCTACATAAGTACTCAGGCACGCGTGCCATGTAGAGGATAATTAGATGATTGGTGAATTTTCTTGATTGCACGGCAATGCTAAGATTAATTTCAACCGTCTGTTTTTGCAATCTAACATCCAGGTAAGTCTCAAACTGAGTCATTACGAGGAGCGGGTCTCCTGCGACAAATCAGACACGTACCTCTTCCACTGTGAGGGGCAGAGTGACACGGCTATAACAGACAAATAATGAATTATGTCAGCGTTATATATCGAAAAGCAAGGAGACGAAGAAAATTAATGTAATCGTGTCCTTGAGTCTCAGGATGGAGAGGGGACCCGTTGTCGTAAGATGCATGTATTACCCGGCCGATCTTAATTACAAAAATCAAAGCTGATCAATAAATTTGTGAGAGATTTATGACCGAACGATCCACATTATACGCGGTCGTCGCCAAGAAAGTTTAAGGTCAACTGAGATTCTCTGCAAAGCTGCACTTTTATCGCACTTCCCGCTGCTGATCAGAAATCATCGTATACTTCGGTGAGAGAAAGAGAGAGAGAAAGAGAGAGAGATAGAGAAGTGCAGAAAGTGCAACCTCTAGAATCATGCGGGATGATTCATAAGGGATGAAAGGGCCACCATCCCTCTCGCTCTATCTCTTTTTTTTTCAACTCTCTTCCTCTCTTTCTCCAACCGCATTAAAGATCACCAATCATTGTGACCTATGTCGATCAGTTTTAAATTTCGCTGTGCTGGCCTCCGTTGGCCATGGAGCGAATTTCGGAAATCCGTGCCGCGCGGCGCGCACCTGCAGCCCCCGCTCCATATCCCCGTCATCATCGCCGTTGCCATCCTTTTCCTCCCCCTCTCCATCCCGTGCTACACTTACAATTCCTTGATGAGCATTTTAGTCAGCAGAGCACATGGACCAATAGTGTTCAATCAACAGACTGGCCACCGACAACGATGAGATGGAGCAGCAAGATCCACTGACGACACCGCACCCTCTGCTCCTCGTCGGCTACCGATCTGATTCACGGCTTGTGCTATCGGCTCGCTATCGGCTCGCCGCCGTCGCCACAGTGTCATATACCCGCAACGTCTACCGAGCAACGCCGACAGGACTCACCAACCGACTGACACACTCCGAGCCAGACCGCTCCGGCCGCTCCACGGTCCACACCACCAGCAGTAGCAGCAGCACACCAGCATGCACCAGCAAGCAACCGCACCGCCACGACTGCGCCAATGGAGTCACACACACTTGCGCGCGCTCGCGCCCGCGCACACGTGTACGATTCCGCGCACCCCTCCTCTTCCCTATCCTTGCTTCGCGGGCCACTCCTCGGCCTACCTCGGCCGCCCTCGGTTATCGCCGTCATCGCCGATGACCGTCCAATATCTTCTCCCTCATCCTTCCTCTTCCGTACAAACTTTGCCGCTGACGTCATTGGGCGAGAAGTTAGGCACGCGTGCGTGTACCGATTACCAACATGCGTGTATTATCTTTTGAAGCAAATTTCGAGAAGGAAATCGAGAAAATATGATGCTTGTAATTTATAATTCATCACTATGTTGTCATTGTATAAGTATGCGCATATTTACTTTTCTCTCGTTTCCCTCGTTACCAATGCAAAACAGGTTTTCAAACAATAATTGTAAAAGACTAGAGATTTGTTCTTTTTCTACTAGGACTGCACTTCTTGCGTGGTTTATTTTTTTGTTTTTTGTCTCATGTGAAAAGAAAAAGAAGAAAGATTAAATGTGCAATTCAGTCTTGGGATATGGAAAAAGAAGAATAGACTTTAGGAAATTTAGGTTTCCATGCCTTCTTGGAGGAATTATGTTGGATGCCCTGATCTCATGAAGGGCGGATTTTCAAAAATCTTAAGATTTCCATGTAGAAAAAATATAATGGAAAAATCATAACAGGATGAGATAATCAATCAAAATGTTGGAGATATATAATGTATAAAAAGTTACGAAGTTTCAATAAGCATTTTCATAAACTTTAAATATTAATTAATTTTCTTTATATTAATTAATCTTCTTTATCTACAATTCTTTTCTCTTTGCAATTCTTGCTTAATTGCGGAATTTTTTTCCACTCATTTTAATTATCTTTGTATAATTAATAATAAATATTTTGTTCATTTTCATTTTCAATAATAATATTACACTCGTTCACAAACTTCCTGAAATTAATGGCTGATTTATACATTTAAATCCAATGAGGAACTAAGGGCAAGACCAATTATATTCAAGAATTTTAACAGTTACAAAGCTGTTTTTTCTGCTGAACGCAGCCAATAAAATATTTATTATAAGAGTTGTGCATCTATTCCCTTTTTTTTGGGTCAGAGACCAAATTTTCTCCATAAACTTCAATGTAAAAAGTTTTCACTTTTCACATTTTTTTAATGGAAAAGTAAAAAATCGATATAGAATCGATGTTTGGAACTGGTTTCAAAATTTAAGGAAATCCATTGTTAAAGGGGAAAGGAACGATGAGAGTTGCGGAATCGAAGTATAGCGATGTAGCGCTAGAATCAAACCCGAACTCGTGACACGTTATTGACTCGAGACAACCCAAACAATCTACAGTGTAATTTTATTATGGATGAAAGACGAAGGAAAAAATCTTAAATTCAATCATTTTGATCAAAGAGGTACATTAATATTACTCTTAATGTTTTCTTGTTTAATTACGCTGATACTGTGAACATTCCCGTTTTAAATCAAAAATTACTCAACGATATCCATATATTCAAAATTGATAAAACATTCAAACATGATGGCGTAATCTCTTCTGTTATTCATTTCAACCGATATACTTTAATTTTAATCTGATTTATCTATATTGGTTATTAGGCAATTTCTAAAGCTTCGAAGCGTAGATACATATTTCTATTCTTATTAGTCAATTGCATTACGATGTATTACGATATATATAACTTTAAAGGACTGTAATCAACATAATTAAAATATAAAATGCCGAAAGCAACAAATTAAGTCTAAGAATTACAAAAAGATAAAATAATTAAAATCTGAATTATAAAAAGATAAAATAAATGAAAACTTTGCTAGAGCATTTGATTGTCCTTCTTTTTCTTCTTCATCTTTTAACACATAATCAATTCGAGAGAATGTAAACATCATGTTTTAAATTTTGAATTTCATTCTGACGTAAAATCTTCCGCGTCGTTCTTCTAAAATTAAAAATTATTTAATCAGAAATTCATTAGATAAATTATTTTTTTTTGCTGCAAACAATTGCAACCTTACTATTTAGACCAGGCCTGTCTAATTTGAGCTCTGGAGCCAAAATGCAAAAAAATCGACGCAAAAAAATTCAATGTGGGTAAGATTTCAGAGATTAAAGTGTTAATGCGCATTTAAGGCTACGTTTCTCTCCGAGAAAGATTTTATTCTATATGTTATAGTATACGTTACGTACTACATACTTTAAATAAAATTTTCCTCAGAAAGGAACGTAGCCTTAAATGCGTATTATCACTTTAGTCTCTGAAATTTTGGAACGTAGCCTACTACGCTTATCAATAGTTTACAGTTCCTAAAATCTTACTCGCATTGAATTTTTTTACGTCAATGGCTTTGCGTTTTGACTCCGGAGCTCAAATTGGACAAGCTTGATTTAGACATTTCTTCATTTCTTTTTTTTTTTTCATTTCTTTATGCTCCTTTATAATTGACTTATCTAAATCTTATCAACCTTATGAATAATAAAGTTACTGCTATTATTTTGCAACACATGTCGTTCGATCAATTTCTTCAATAGACGATCACTAGAAATGTTCTTTTAAAAACACAGATATAATAGAAACTACAGAACATGTATGATATTTAAGATAATTTCGATCAAATTCTAATTAATTATTATTATAATCAATTTAATCAATTTAATTTCAGAATTGTTTAAAATACGCTTTCTAACTGTAAGTATAACGATAAAAATTTAATCATTCTGTTTATATTAACAAAATATTAATTAAATTAAATTCACAAGTTAATCGCCAATTAAATTAATCAGAGTTTTGTCGAGAGTTTTGTCTTGAGATGAAGAAAATATAGCAGAAATCAAAATAAGCATATAATATATATTTATTAAGATGAATCTGTTCCAAAGATATATTTTCAATATTAAAATCGGATCATCTTTTGTAAAATATATTAAAAATAGATTTAACATCTTAAGTATCACGAGTCTTAGTTTCCAGCGATGTGTTTATTATTATTACGGATGTATGTTCTTAAATATCATAACAACAATATTCTTTCTTGACTTTGATACAGTAGCAATTCGATTTCGTTAAATCATGGATTTAAAAGATGTCCTTTCGTCAATGTCTGAACTTGCAGCAGGTAAAAAACAAAATCGTTAATCGTAATAATTCGCAAATTGCAAAACATAGTTCGCAAACGTAGTTCGCAGAATGAAAATGCATTTGTTTTTTTCACTGTGTGCGGTTTTCATCTGTGTGAATTTTGCGTGCGGTGATCGTCATTTTGCGTCAGCATTTGCGAATTACGTTTTGCGATTTGCGAATTATGTAGAACAACTTACTTATGTAGAGAGAGAGAACTTACAAGATTAAAAACCTTTATTGCGAATTCTCTCGATCGCGTTTGCTGAAATGATTTTTAAAAGTTCTATTTAGTCCACTCAACTATTTGCCAGAAAAAATTATTTGTTTTAGTATCTGTCCAGCAAGAAGATTTGGATGATAGCATCGATAATGTTATAAGTCAGATGAAGTCATCTCTCCCGGATGTTTCTTTTTCAGACATAAAAACATCGAATGATGCGATTAATTCAAATTCGAACGAGAATTCTAAAAAAAATATTGAAATGAGCGACAATACAAACAAAATATAGAAGATATCAGTAGAAGTAACTACGTAAAGTACATCATAAGTATATTAAAAGGATAAAATTATAAAATAATTTAAAATCTTTGATGCAATTGCGAATGTTAAATTATTAACTTTATTGTGGAGCAACAAGATTCGAGCATAAATTTTTGTATGTAATAAAAATTTGAATATGTAATTTTTTCAGAGTACTATTGTAATTTTGCTATAATAGAGAATGAAAAATCTAAAGATAATTCGCATAAAAGAAAAAATGTTAAAGATGAAACCACCGTAAAACCTTTCGTTCTATTATATGATGAAAACAATAAAATAAAAATTCTAACTCATTTTGATGAACTCTATGACGAAAACTTATTGAACTATCGATGACATATGGGACTTAATTAAGGTAATAATATAAATAATATTTATCGTTTCCGACCTAGGATTAGAATAATCGGCATGGATTAGATTAATGACGTTACATCTTCTATTATTGATTGATGTTACATCCCAAGCAGAACAACAAGTTATGAAAACGTTAAAATGACATTAAAATGAATTGAAAATGATTGAAAAACTTTTAACTATTATTTTGGAATCATTTAGACATCATTTTAGTATCATATTAACTCGTTCTGCTTGTGATGCATTCAATCATTAATCCATTCAAATTAATTAAAATCCGCTATATGTTTAAAAATGCTGTTTGTTATTTTATATATTTGCGAGCCAATGCTCGGAATAATTGTTTAATATTTCCAATTTTATTGATAATTGTTAAATTGTTATTAAAAATCCCAAGCAATCCTATAATTTTCAACATCAACGGATAATATCAAAGCACTTTAAGAGAATTTTGTGTACAATACTTTTCTTTTTGAAAATTTTTTGTATGCGGCTCACTGATTTCAGACAAACAAAAGTTCAGATATAATAAAGCATGAATCATCAGTTATTAATCAATAGCCACGATAAGACTATAGCAAGTTATCTCATAAAACATCGTATGTTAATAAAAATAATGGAACAAGTGCAAAATAAACCAGAACTTATGGTATGATACATTTATCTTTATTGCATAATGCTTTACAATAACAATTATTTTTTGAGCAAGTGTTACGTAATTACTTTAACAAAGTCATTAAAACATATTTTTAAGAAATATAATTCTCAAAATAAGCAATATGTTTAAACGAACAATAAACTGTATAGGCAATTTGAATCAGTTTGCTATGTTAATTCTAAATAAATTAAAATCTACTGATAATTTAATATTAAACAACCTTCTGAAAATTTTACAAGTTGCAGTGCACAATATCAAAATAAAAAATTTTGAATCACGTTGGTTATCCACTTTAAGGAATATGGATCTTTTATACACGATATAAGAGCCATACTCAGGAAGCACTGTCATAGTACTGATTTATTCAATAATAATAAATTTTAAACAATAAGAATCTTATTGGATTGTACATGTGAAAACTCAATAAATAGGAAACAGGAAATAATGGTCATAAGCTGTCAAAGCTGAATCTTGTAATACTTAATAATTCTTTAGCTTCGACGAGTTATGGTTATTATTTCCTACTTTCTATTTATTGAGCAATAAATTTTAATTTTTGTAATATATTATATTATATTCGTAATATATTTTGTAATATATAATAAAAGAATCAAATTTCAGCGAATAATTTATTAAGTTTTTGTTGTAGAGAAATTAACGATAACAGTGATTGAATTAATTAGAGACATGATTAAGATAAAATTACCGAATCAATGCACTCTTCTAGAAGAACTATTTAAAATAGAATTAATTAATTTCTGAATTAATTTCTGCACTGATATCTTCCGCACAAGTACTAGTAGCAAAGAAAAAACTTAATTCTCCAAAAAATTTAGAATTATACCTCTACAATTGGCTAACAATAATAGCGAATGTAAAATCACATTTATGTGCTATATTTAGAAGGAATGAAGAAAAAGAAAAATACTTATTTATGAAAATTTTAGCTGTTGTGTTATATTGCATCCATATCAGGAAGAAGGTTTTTTATTTGTAGGATGTGAAATAAAATAACATCTTCATGTGATTTTCAAATGCCTATGCTTATTGATATATATTATTCATTATCACTTTTATATTCCTCTGTTAATAAATCGCATTATGATGAAAATAACGTTGAATCTTTATGCAGGTATAGAATTCATCAGATAATTGATACAGTAACATATTTCTAATTTTTAATTCTATATATAT